CTCCAAGTGGCCCAATGTAAGTACTATTTACAGATATTGGGCCGAATATGAGCCAGTGTCTAAACTCCTAGTATCCCCCTTAATAACCCCTATAGTAGGCCCCTATATAATCCCCTGTATCACCCCCCTTTAAGGAGTTTAGACTATGGCTCATATGGGCATTGTTTTTGGACATGGAGCCCCTGGGACAATTTCAAAGCCCCCGAATACGAAATTGCACCTGCCAGGCCTACACCATGAACTGACAACCTTTTTTGCACTAAACTACCTAGACCCTCCATTTACCTCGGGTCCTGCCCCCATCCATTAACAGTCTATATTAGGGGGTCATATTAGGGGCAAAACAACTGTTACTGAATGGGGGCAGTACCCAACATCTACCCTCTATATACCCGAAATGGGTAGGGTTTTGGGTTTAGGGCTTAGGGTCATGTACCCCTACTTAAAGGGCACAAGGAGGGCCATCGTACTGGCAAGGCCTTTCAACTAAACCCTAAACCCTAAGCCCCCTTCACTTTCCAGACCCCTGGGAGGATCTAGAAAGTAGATCCCCCTTAAGGGTTCCTAGGAAGTACCCAATAGTAGTATAGGGTACCAAATTGGGGGTTCTACTTTCTAGATCCTCCCAGGGGTCTGGGTTCAAGAAGCCTCAAGATAAGCAAAGCCAGCCGGTGCCCCAGCCAGTGACCGCACCTGACAGATCTCACAAGGGATATGTACGGGTAAATAGGGATACCGGAAAAGAACATGGAAGCAACTCTTGTATAATAGGGTATATCTATATATGGGCGATATATCTTAGGGGATAGATATATACTTATGATTTAGGGGTATATAAGGGTAATGGCAAAAATGGAAATTACTATGTCGGGCTTAGGGGTTTCAGGGCTTAGAAGTTTTTGAGACGTGAAGGGCTTGTCAAAGAGCTATACTGCGAGAAGGGATCTATGAATAAGAAGTGAAAGGACTGTGTCTCAAGTGTATCAAGGTTCTATATGAGGAGTGGCAACTGTGCGGTCTGTGATATCGTCATGTTTGGTATCTTTTTCTTGCTTAGACAAGATCGTTTGATCTGGACATGCCACCAGCTTGGGGAACAACTTTTGGTGTCAAATGCAACAAAAAATGCTAGTGGATGTCTCAAGAATTTGTGGTCTGATTGCAGCTGCGAGATAAATCGCGCACACCTCATCCTAAGCCTTATCCTGCATCCCCAAATGAAACATGCTCTGCCTGTGTGGCACCCTCTGTGCCCTCTGACACCTTGCGAAATCATAAAGCCCTCCGCACTGCCTACGTTGTCCTACGTAAGTTCTTGCTAGCCCCGCGATCCAAAGAGAAACCGCTTTTGGGGAGAGCCTTGGGATGAACGTCATTGTTTGGGAAGCTGCTAAGGACATGCAGCTCGCCTGGTAGTTGTTGGCCATACCATACCAAAGCTGCAGCCAATCCTGTTTAGGATCAAAGCTTCTCAGAAAAATGCAGGCCCGTTCATAAGCGTCCCCAAAGGAAGATCCACCCTTTTGCTGCGGGCTGTGCAAAGACCCGAAGCCAGATCATTCTGTTTGATTGAAAACTTCACCCCACTGAGGAGGTGAGAGCGTAATCCTAGACCTCCATGAGAGCCGCCATGAAAAATGTTCAAGTACAACGGGTTCTGGCAAATTGAGGATTCTAACGCGCAAACCTGCAAGAACTTGCGAGAAACGAGCTGTGATGGTATGACGACCAAAAGCCTGCAAGACACGGCTTCAGCAACCCCCAACAACCAACCTTTGGCAAAACTTGCGTGCAACACAAAATTCCGCAAGCTTGCGTGACGGTACGTACGGAGGGAAAAACCTACGCAGACACTGTTCGGCGGGTCTTTTTCTACAAGCTCCAACAAGTAATTATTGCTGCTCAAATAAATCGTAGAGCCTGACGCCTACACATGGATGTTTGGTTTGAAGCCTGAAGACTACATTCTTCCCTAGACCACATGCACTCGCAGACGGCCGCAGGACGAGTCAGAGGAGATAAGAAAGTCGCAGAAATAGGGGTCCAAAGTCAACGTACGACCTAAGCCAGGAAATTGAAAGCGTCAAGAAAGCATGTCGATATCTTGTACTCCATGTCTCAAAGCGTCGGCGGCTTTGCCAAGGTTTCGCTGCGTGCCGGGGTTCGGGCAGGGCGCAGAGCCCGGGACACCGGGGAGGGGTGGAGGGAGGGGGGAAGGGTTTCTCCAGGGATTTTACAGGGATGTCTAGTTCTAGGGGCTATATAGGGTTTGGCACTGCAGATCAAGCCGGCAATCTTTAATGTCATTCCAAACTCAAAGCAGCAACATCAAGATTGTGGAAACTGTAGACTGGCTGCGGACCCTCCATCTAGAAAACCCATCTTACCGTATCTTACCTCCAAGTTATCAGGGTACTGATGCCCGTGTGTAGGGCTATATAAGCGGAAAGAAGTCCATGGGTAGTTCAAAGTATTGGCTAGAGCGGCTAGAGCTAAGAGTGAGGCACTCGTTGTTTCAACATCGCAGCTATCTGATCTCGCGTCGTCAAGGAATATCCATGGCTATCGAAGGTAACTTAAGGGTTAAGTGCGGATATGTAAGGCTGTGCATGTTTAAGGCTACCAAAACTGGAGAAGCAAATGGAAAACGCGATGGGAGGGTATGTATATATATATATATAACTTTTGCTCCCAAAGCCCTGACGACATTTCTTTGCGTTCAGGCATGGCGCTCGCAGCAGCAATGTCTGTTGCCTACTTATGGGCAAGCGCATTCAAGGGGTCGCCATTGCCATTTAAACAAGAAGTCGAAGGTGTGATGATGGCGAAAATTATGCAAGTTCTCTTGTTGCTCAACCAGCTGGAAGTAGCACAAGCAGCCTCGTTGCTTTGAAGTGTAGGAGTTAAGAACTGAATGTTGAGGGTCGGGATGGGTGGTGCCTTAGCTGGCGCTACATGGTTGGCTATAAGTGGTGGGTTGCCTACGCCTGGGTTTGGAATACCACCCCATCCAGCCTTGAGGAATGCATCAGCAGGGGCACACTCATGGTATCTCGTGAGCCATCAGAAGCCCCAAAAGTCACGATGTAAAGCCCAATGCAGGTTATCACTTGCTGATGCCTAACGGGGAGTCGGGGAATGAATCCTGATATAATGCCCGTATATACAGCTACTGGAGTACTCACATGTACTCACATTCCTTACCTCACTTCCCTGCAAGCACCAGCAGGATTATCCCTATACAGCCCCTATATAACCCTTCACAACTCTATATAACCCCTTAGAAGTCAAGGCGAGACTTGCCAAGCAACGCGACCCCGTCAATGCATGAAGGTGCTGACTGCCGCTTGGAGGGTTGGATGCTGAGGAGGTCTTGGCTATGGCAGACACGTGGGCACCAAAAGTGGGGGTTTCCCAAAATTAGGGGGCACCATTTGGGTAACAATGAGGATTATTGAGGATTATAGCATTTTGGGGTCTATATTGAGTTCCCCTTATTATGGGAAATTACCAAGTACATCGCGAAGTCTGTGGGCTGTCTTATGCAGAAAAGGGCAAGAGCAGATGGCCAGCCGCTGTGCTTGCCATAGCCGTACAAGCAGCCCGTCACAGACTTGAATTTTAAAACGAAAAAGAAGTGTTGCAGCTACAGGTGGAGGTGGCAGCGCAATAACCATCCTCAACCCTGCAGTTTGTACTAACTGCCCAGCTTGAAGCGAGATGGGGAGATGCGCGCATCTGGGATGTGGGATTTCCGAGAATAGGGGGTTACTATTTTGGGGGCGTCCCTATGGTAAAGGCTATAGTATGTTGGGGTGTTGTTGGGCCCCGCTATTGATGGAAACTACCATTTAGGAGTTTAGGGTAGGAAGGGAAAAGAGAAAGGACACAACACTGTTGTTCATAAAGGAGTCATATAGGGCGGAATCAGATCAAAGGAAAATGGCCGACGGAGTTACTGAAATGCAAAGAGGGCGTATATAGTCTTGCAGGATGCATAAAACGGGCAATTGAATGGAAACTGGGCGTATATTCGGGTGTACGGGATGTTAACCTGGTGCCATTTCGAAGTCAAGGGTTGTACTCAAGGGCCCTACTCCCTCGTTGGCCGGCTTAAGAATGAAGAATGACCACCTCGCAAAACACTTGCTCAACTGCTTCAGTGTGGGAGATAGCAATAGCTATGCCTGAAAGTCCCTGCTACCGGTGGGCAGAGGGTTCCTTGGGCCTCGGGCTTTTTGCCCGCACCTAGGTGGGAGGAGTGCACTCAACAACCCTGCCACTTCCACCCGTTGAAGTTGGGCAGAGAGCCGGATTGCCCAAGTCTCGCGCTCGCAGCTTCCATCGCCCTTCCTTCCCGATCTTCAGGAAGACAAAAATCACAGCGAAATACTGACTGCGCGGGTGCAGGCCTGCTCTTGCTGAGTCCTGAACACAATCTTGACTACATGAGTTGGAATATGAACCCCTAGCTTCCCCTTAACAACCCCTATATAGTACTCTACTACATACAGTACTCCACGAAATTACCCTCTTTGAGGAGTTTAGACCCTTGACTCATCCCTTATGTACACCCCTCTAAAGGAGTTTAAGCTATAGCTCGCATGACCGTCAGCACGTGGTTCTGGGAAGGTCCCTCGTGTTGGTACTTATGTAGACCCCCCCGCACCCTGTGATAGTGGTAGAATAGGACTATACGAGGACCCAAATATGATCACCATTATCCCTCATTGTATAGGGTTATAGTGGGATATATATATATATATATGCTTGTATATGGCTATGTGAGATTATATGGGGGTTTAAAAAACATGAAAAGACCAAATCGTGTCAGTCACTATTACCGCGTGGGGGATCCACCTAAGTTATTACACTCAAGACGAGGCTTCTAAAACACACATTGATCACAGGACCGCATCTGGAGATGATGCCACCAAAGCTCAACAAAACATGCACACTTTTTTTGGGAGCCCCGCTCCTTTCCGTCATGCCAAAAACGGTTAGACAGCAACCTCGCTGAGGAAGCTCTCGAACATCTGACGGTTCTGCCTGCACAGAGTGTCTACATTCAGCCGGTACATGCTCCAGTCAATAACCCTAAACCCTCATGTGAGTAGTGTTTTTTTGGTGGTTGAACCTAGTAAGATTATATTCCTTAAGTAAAATACTATACCCCAACAGGAGGATATAATCTTACTCTATACTGGGTACCATAGTATCCCCAAATTAAATACTGCGCGTGTGTGGCTTTCGACTGAGGGTGAATGTCCCTCACTTCTCAACTTCTACTTGGAATGCTTGATGTAGTGCACCTTCAGTATGACAGGATGACGCTTCAGCCTGTTTAATTTTACGACGTGATTTTCTTGAACATGCTGACTCCAGATGCTGGCTCCGCCATTGATGTTGAGATGCAACATGGGAAGTGTCAAGCCTGATTGCAGGAACTAAAAAAGGGCTCCCGCCCAAGTCAGTCAACTTGCTGTCCAAAAACGACCACAAGCGTAAACTCGGAACCGCAAAGCCAAAGCCTGCATTATCATGAAGAGCAAAAAGATGAAGGCAATGCCAAACCTATTGCAGAAGTAGCCACCCCGAAGCCAGAACCATACCTGGAACTTCTTGAAGCAGGCCAACGACGCACAAATAAGGATCCCCGAGCTATAGATCACAAAGGTCTATACCACAAGCTGAGCTGCATTACCTTGAGCTGGCTAGGGCAAACCCACTCTAGACCCCCATACTTATACTACTTATACAAGGGTAGCTTTGGGAGCCTCACGAGGTCATGTTTTATGCTCTATAGGGATCGTATAAAAAAGATTATGGACATCAAAAGCCCAAAGCAGTTTCGAACCTACCCCTACCCGTTTTTTAGGATGATGCCTAGTATCTGCTGTAAGCAAAATTTGACTAAAGCAGGGGTAGGGTACACTGGTTTAGTCTAGGCAGGGTTTGCCAGCACCGTCACCTTAATGGCCCTGCAGGGATTCCAGAGACAAAAAATGTCAAAATGTGTCAAGAATCCGAGGTGAGTTCAAATTTCATGTCATGTTGGAAATGGCTAGGCTCATCCAATCTTGCTGGGGCCCTGGCATCACCGAGTATTCGCCCTGGGCCGCTAGTAGATTGACCTGTTCCGTAAGGGGGGGAGGTGGGTGGACGAAGGGGGACGGGAGAGGGCACGGGAAAGCATAGCCGGAGGGGTACGGTAGAGGGTGCGGGATGGGCAGCGAGGAACGACACAAGCTCAACAATGAAGATCCAAGTTGTCGAGGGCTATGCTGAGTTTAAATCTGAAGGTGCTTGGAATTTTGGGCATCTCCACTTTTGCTCGGATGATGTCTAGAACAATGGCCAAAGATAATGGTTACGGGTGTTATCTGACCGTGGACCCCTGCCCTCGCACTGGCGCCTTTGCCCTGGGCCCTTGCCCTGGCTGGCCTGTTTGCCCTGTGCCCTCTTGGCCCAGAACTTCCGCTTGCAGACCCTAAAGCAGCATTTCTATTGAACCATTGAGCGCATAATAACCGCCGGGAAGTTCAGAGACCCGGGCAGCCAGCGCCGCTCATCCCCCTGCCAAGTTCGGTGCCCGCTATAGGCTCTGCGTACTACCGTGCTTGCTGAGCTTCGACGGAAAATTCGCAGCAAATTTATTCTCACACTTTGCCGTCAAACTTCGCCGTGCGCTTGTCTTTGGCAGGACCTGTCGTTGTGTGTGCGGGCTGTGAGCCACGCTCACAATATCAATAGGTTGGATTCAGTGCTTGCATGCGTTGGCTCGTCTCAAGTTTGGACCAGCAGATAAGCATATATAGAGTCTGATGCGCCATCGCACAGCTAGGCTTAAGCCTTAAGGCAGAACCTTCAAAGACAAAACTTGAACCAACTTTGCTCAAGAAGAAACCGCCGATTGAAACTCGGAAGTTTCCAGAGGAAAAGCTATGAGGTTAACGCCTGCTTGGAGGTCATAAGAACGTGAGAAAGTCTTGCAGCAGGAGAGCTATAGTCACGAAATAGATGCGGGCTACAGCACCCACAAACCACATGTGTCTAATCACACACGAGCCTTAAAGTTCCCACCACAAAAAAGCTGGAGAGGGGAAAGAACAGCTTACATCCCTGTTCCTACGGCAATGGAATCCTCAATGAAGATGTGATAGGATAGAACAAGTAAATCAAAAGACAGACGAATTCTCTATCATCAGTTGACCGCACAATCCAACCACCAATCAATGAAAATTGGAGAGTGATATAAGTGGGCAGAACAAAGCGAACTGAAGTTCAGACCCTATACCGTGGACTCTCTAGCGGAATAGATGAAGCTAGGCTCAGGTCGCCCGCTTAGATGAGCCATGTGGTCAAAATCTATGTTTTCATGAATTGGGGTTAGGCTCTTGGTTTTGGGGGGGTTGGGGCTTGGGGGCCTGAGCCATAGCGCTAGGCTCATAAGGAAGACATTCAGCGCAGAAATGCCATCCTGCAATGCTTTCTGCACCCGATCTGGAGACCTCTCAAACCCTCTACCAGTAAGTTCATGGGCAGCTCTTAATTGGGATAAAGGTTGCAGTTGTAGCTGTAGATTGAGAGGGGGCTAAACGCGTCTAAAAAATGAACAACACGCGACGAAACAACAAATGATCATGAAGCGCAACTTCTCCGAAATCCAGAGTGCACTCAGTCCTGAATCCCAAGAGCTCAGACCCAGAGCGACCAACCAACGAACTGGGCAGTTCCCAGCGGCAGGGATTTCCAAAAAAGAGCGGTCCCTCTTTTGAGCAGTTCAGGGAATGCCCATCCGTACACAAAACAAGACAGCCTCGGGATTAGAGCACTGACGATAACCACATCAGTTGAAAACAAGCACACAACTTTGAGCCCTAAACCTTATAACCCAACTATCTACAGCTTAAGGGATTATAGTAGTAACTAGGGGCAACTGCTGCTAATCCGTACGTCATTGCGGGTACAGGTGAACACCCATCAGCCCTCTTGGTCTAAGGTTGAAACCATGAGCCCATAGTATGGGCCCTTAACCCTGGGATCCTTACTTACGTAGCTACTATATACCCTACAGGTACCCTATAAGCCTTATTAAGGGGACCCCCACAAAGGTACCCCTAATTCTGGGAAATCAACAAATGGCCCTAAACCCTAAACCCTAAACCTTAGACTTTGGCCTGAGCAGGCGTGAGCCCAAGCGGATCTGTGTCACCATTGTTTCCCCTTGGTATACGGGTTTAGGGTGCAGTGTGGGGATTGGGTTTAGGTTCTTGGTAGGGTTTAGGGTAGGGATCCAAATATATAGATATTACCTATGTTGGGCCCTACAATCTATAAATGGTACCTACTTTGAGGTATTTAGATGCCCACGGATATGTTAACACACACCCTGCCGCTCTATTATCAAACGCCTATCAGAACCTTATTCAAGGCAGGAAATATGTGAAGTATGGTCTAAACTCCTAGTATCCCCCCGTCCCCTATATAATCGCTTATATAAGCCGCTTTAAGGAGTTTAGACTATAGCTTATATACCACGGCGTAGGGGTGTTTTTGTACAAGGCGAAGAAGCTTACCGTAGGCTTATTCATGTCAACATAAAATTGCATTGGACCGCCTCTTTGGGGGATTTCTTCAATAAAAGGAAGTGGCCTCGGTGGCCCTAAGTATAGACAGGGGTTATAGGCAGATCCAATATACTTACAGTAGAGCTCTCACAGCATTCTCTGCATAGCTAGAGATTAAAAAAAAAAGGCAACACCAAGCCCAAACCAATGTTTGGCCCTTACGGCTTCTAGAGGCCTGCGCCGGACTCCAAAGTATGGAGCAAATGGGAGCTGAGAGTGGAAGCCCAAACGCTCTACAATGAACTGACAACCGTGGAACTGGGCTGCTGTTCAGGAACTTCAACTAAGTTGCCATACTCAGAAATCTGCATTGTTGACAATGTATCCATATCATGGTGACTTGAGCAAAACTCCTGAGCAGCACCTGAGAAGAGGCCAAGCAAGGGTCTCTTTACAACAGAAACGCTGCAGAATGTTTTGCTCAGACTGGCAGAGAATGAAGGGAATGCAAGAGAGCATAAAAAGTTCTATAGTATTAGGGGATACAGGGACTACGTCTGCATGTACAAGGATCCAGTCCTTCATTCCTTGCTAACCAGAGGTAAGAATACGCATCATGGCGATGACATGTTGGGTAGACCAAAGTTAAGGAACTTGAGACAATGAAATCTCATTTTTTCGGGCTAATCAAAACTAGAGCCCGTCCAAAGGTCTACATGTACGGAGATTGCTTGTAGGTTTTGGGGTTACAGGCTAAGTTACCGGGGCTGCAACAAGACATCCTCAACAGATCTGCTTACCTATGGGAAGCCATTCGTCATCTGCAGTGAGGCGTGGCATCGCTAAAGTTGACCCATTGCCACTACCTGCACTATCATTAAATGAAGGACAGGGACAAGATGTTGCAATCCAAACTGCCCATGCTTTTCTTAACGGCTTCTCAGAAAGTTAGACAATCCATTACCTGAGCCACCCAGAAACCCCGAGTTCTCGTGCATCTGCAGTCAAGCTGCAGCCGTCAGGGTTGCTATGACAGAGCATTCCTGCCAGCTACCTCTCCATATTAAGCGCATATAGTCCCCCTTAAGTAGATAGAATATGGGGTATATGGCCATATTCTATCTACTTAAGGGGGACTATAGTCCTGGAAGTACTGGAAGTTAAGAAATCCTAATACCCTCGCCAAGCTGCGTGGTCGAGTAGATCGGATAGTTTACAAAAAGGCCTTTGCTTCCCTCCGCGATGTTCTGCCTCAGCAAATGGATTGCCAGGGTTTGCTGGAGCTTTTCCAACATCCAGGGTTTGCACCCAATTAACATAACAGTGCTAAGTCTTTAGCGGTAGATATGGTGACCAAAGCAGCCCACCATGCAAAAAACAAGTCAATGGCGCTCTGAACAGATCCAAGCAGATCCTAACAAAGCGTTTCAGTGTAATATTGGTGCCGGAACAAGTAGCCTATGCCTTGGATGTGTTTGATGGCGGTCATGATGGCGGCGGCGCCGCCGCCGCCGCCGCTGCTGCTGCTGCTTGTCAGCGGCTGCTGCTTGTCGGCGGCTGCTCCTGCTGTATGTTGGTGTCGGTGGTGATGACATATGTAGCTGCCCTAGGCCACGTACCAAAACCTCAAGCTCTTAAGGTCTGCCAAGTCCTGCAGGAGGTCGTGTGAAGGAGGCCCCAAGTTGGGGCTGCATGGGAAATGTGTTTTTCTCGTCAGAAGTGCCCCATAGAGACCCCAAGGGAAAGACATGTTGGACCCTAAGGCGATTTCTGCCGGTACTTATTCCACAGGGAATGGTTTGAGAGACTCCCGCACGTTTAGTCTGCACGGTATGTGCGGTACGAACCTGCTTCTGACCCCCGGCAGTAAACCAAATTTGCAACTCGCTGTACTTTTAGATAGCTAAGCCCGACAGGCTCAAGTGAGACTGTGTGTTCAATTTGCGGAATTACAAGGACAGTGTTCCTCTTGAAGGAATTCCTCAAAGTTGCAGCTGCATCTTTGGGATCCTTCCTAGGAGCAGTACACACTTTTCGGGGCTCTTGGGGAGGACCTTCGTTTTAAAACGCTTCGTAAGTTACAATTACAACTGTAGGAGTGCATGTTGCCACAACCACCCCAGGCCCTGGAATCTCCCCTTGTAGGGAGCCCCTTGACTTGTGGCCTGGCAGAAGGCCCCGAAAGCTTAGCCACCGTTTCCAGCATTTCAACCCTGAGTCTCAACCAAGGTGCTGCGTTTCTTGGGGAAGCGCTTGTTGAAAGTCTGTGGAGGTTTCGAGGTACAAGATGATGAACTCCAACTGGCCAGCAAAATTCATGGACTGCGTGGGAGGAAGGATCGATCTGCCTAACTGAGGACCAGCAAACATCTAACAAGATCTCGATGATGACTTGGTTAACGTTTAACGCCGGATCATGACCCCTTCCAGCGCACTGTCACATCTAATTAGGTTGCTATCCTGCAGCCGTGTGTCAGATCCTGCACTGGCCCTGGTTGGGATTCAATGAAAACACATCTGACCCTTCACGGACGGAACTGAAACCGCGGCCGGATCTACCGCAACCCTGTAGCCGAAGACGTCAGATCGGAAAGGATTGTTTAAAAAACAGCCCCCACGAATGGGGACCCAAGCAGGACAGGATGCTTGCTGCTTCTCTTTCTCACTCCACATAAGACTGGGTTGGGCCCTAAAACCCTTTGAAAAATATTAGTATATAGGGTCCCTTATTAAAGCCATTAGGGAAAACATTATCCCAGGGCCCTACCCAGAAGATTGCGCGCGCTGCCAGACCTCCTTGCCAGTTGGACCAGCCAGCCCCAAATAGTTATGCCTAGGCCTAGAACAAAAGCCATCTGGGTGGTTGTCAAAATTATGGTCTGTTTTTGGGTATCCTAAATATTAGGTGTTGTATTGTAATAGGGATCCAAAAACGGACCATAATTTTGACAATCACCCATCTATCCTCCCATATATTCCCATCCAACCTCTTAACGGCCCGCATACTGTAGAAGCCTGAATCACTCAATGTGAAGTCAATTTGCGGCACCTATATTATAGTTGTACAAGGCATCAAACTGATAACTCCCTGCATGAGCCCAGTTTCCATTTTCTTGTTCATGCATATTTCATGTTTCAACTTATGCAAAGGCTCTGCATAATCCCTGGCCCCTATACATTCTAAACCAATTATTGCGGCCCCTATAGTAGGCGTGGAAATGCAAAACTCTTAGCTCACGCGAGGCGGTAGCGCCTTGTAGCCACCTTTGACGCCTCAGTGAAAGCTCCAAACTTTACAGCTCAGAGCTTGGGGATACATGCCGGTTTCCATAAACGGGGAGACCGCAATATGTAGACACTCGAATAGTAGAATCCTCATTGTGGTGGCCCCCAAAAAGGAAATCCTAATATTTGGAAAACCCCATAAGGATTTATCGGGCTTAACGATTAGGACCTTATATTGTAATACCAAGTACCAACAGTCTACGGGTTTTACCCACTGAGGGGGAAATCACGCCTTGGCTGCAGGAAAATTGGGCTGCAGGTAGGGGCTTCAGGGTTTAGGAGGATGTTTGACCAACGCTTAGGCTTTGCTAGGGAGAAATGTCGAAATCCCGAAGCCCACAGCGCCCTCCCATCCCTCAACTTCTTCACTTTCATCCCCCCAAAACTAGCACGACCCCATAACAATTCAAGCCAACCTACTGAATCTGAAGTTGCTGTTTCCAGGCTTCGGTCCCACTTCTCAGAGGTTTGGGTATTCGCAACATTGAGACCCCAAAAAATAACGAGACGGAACTCAGAATCAAAAGGACAAGCCTGACAGTCGGGGACTATGCCCCAGTGAGAGGTTTGCGGCCTGCAGGTCTTGTAGCTGCATATGTAATCCCTCCCCCTTAATGTTAACGCCTCACCCCCCTAATATTAAGTACTGCCCATTGTAATATGTTATAACATCCTGGGAACATTTAATATTGGGGGGGGGGGGTGGGGGAAGGTTAAATATTCGGGGGAGGGGGGTATGTGTGTGTGCGGTGAAATTGGGTGATGGGGCAAGGTGCCTGACCTCAAGTTTGATAATTAAGTGGCCTTGTCATATGCGCTATAATCTAAACTCCTAATATCCCTCTAAACAACCCCCCCATAATACTTCCCTCTATGATCCCCTTTCTAGCCCCCCTTTTAAGGAGCTTAGACTATATCTCATATGCACCTTTACTTTGGCTGACTCTCTTGACATACAGAGCAAAGTCTTGCCACCTGAAGGTATACAACATGCTCATTCTTACTGGTGGTTAACACGGAATAAGGGAATATAATCTCTAATGACCCCTGATTAATAAACCCCCTCCTCCTCTTAAGGGCCTTACTATTAGGATCCCGATTAGAATCCCTATTCACAGGAGGGGGTTAATCATCATTTTCCTGGGTTATATACTCCCTGTAATAATATGTTCCCTTGTTTACTACTAACCCCCAGCAAGTCATCAGAAATCAGATCGGCCTGCAGGGGTAAGCCTTAGACCCTGAACCCTATCCCTAAATACTCAACCACACATAAGAGACCAACTAGACACAAGCCGTGTATTTCATGGCACGGATGTGTTTTCATGTTCTTCAGCCGAAGAACCACACCCAAGACATGTACATGTGTAAGGTGCATGTATATGCACAGACATATCTGTGTGCACAGATATTACATGTATAAGAATGTGTATATATGTTTATAATTCTGTGTATATATACATACAAATATGCACTGATCAATTTTGCGGGGAAATTAACATGACCCTCTGCAGCCATCGTGGGTCTTGTGTCCAACGTCCTCTCCGCGCTCAAGAAAACCCACAACACTCTTTAAACTACTCTCCATCGTGGTACGGATGATGTAATACCAGAGTGGGGAATAGTTGATAGTGTGGGAGGGGCTGCGGGTGTTTCGTAACATGAGGAGGGGGGAGAGATCTTTAAGGATTCCGGGAGGCCAATAGAACCAAGGCACCCCACCATGTGTTGGGCTGTACCATGAGCTCCTCTGGGTGCACGGGTGCCACTTGAGTTTTCGTCGTTAAGGCTTGTGGGAAAGAGGATTTAGGACTGAGGGTCGTACGGTGTGGCCTTGCGTCTGAAGTTCAGGAGACCTTTGCCTCTGGGAGCTACGCACCGTTTCCCCACCGACAGGCAGTTCAGGGGCCTGTCCTCTGGTTCAAGACCAAGGGTTTCAGGGTGTGCCGCATCTGGCTATGCCCGGCGCCAAATCAAACTTCTCTCAACAACTCTTAAACACCATTTTACTGAAGACTGCGCCATCAATCTAAGCACTTTGTACCCCAAGTATATACTGCATAGCTGTATGGGCACTCTGGGCTAAGCCAGCTGAGCACCTGCCTACACCATGAGACTCCCCATTGTTCGATTCTTGTGCTCGCAGGCTAATGATATGCTCTTCCGCTTTCATCCCAAACACACCGAAAAGCCACCGCCTGAGCCACCACAGCCTCAGCCATAAAGCATGCATCTTAAGCCCTGTCCAGGACTTTGAGACCCAAGACTTAGATCTTAAGGCACGCGAGCCTCCTTCACAACGGCCGGCTGCCCCGCCTCCTGTGGGCAAGACATATTCTTTCACTCGGTGTCCCGCTTTGTCTCAGCTCGCCTGTCTATAGTGCATGCAGCCCTTACGAAGCTTTCAGAAGCTTTCTGGAGTGTGTTGTTTTTTGATGAGCAAAAACCGTTGCAACACAGCACACGCGACTACAGAGAGCCACACGTCTGACCTTTCTTGGGTTTTCACAATGCCAACTTGGAAGTTCCAACGCCAACTTGTCTTATGTTGTTCAGTTTTGCTCTTAACCCGCCGCCACGTTCCGCAACTGCCGCTGTAACACAATTTGTCGATGGAACTTCCAGAACAGCCTCAGCTGGCGCGACCCGAGTCCGAAAGTATACGATCCATATCTAACATAGAAGAAACATTGACCCTTTTTGGGGGATGGATCTAGCGACCTAACAGCAACACATAACATGACGTGATATTGGATGTGCTGGGTTCAGACACGCCTTACCCTTCGTTGGATCCACCAGCCTCATGATATTCGGAGCCCTGCCTTCAGAGCCAGAACCTTCTGCATGAAGGGCAGGAGCTTGTCCTTCTCAAAGACCTCCCACACACCCCAAGAAGGACTCCCACCACACCGTCCTAATTGAGTTATATCATTACAACTATTACTATTACTATGATTGCTATCATTATCACTAGTATTTTTGCTGTACATGAAGGGCTGCGCGAGTAGTAAGAATAGTTTCCAGTTTGATGAGGCATCTGCGAACTTGTGGGTTGGTGGGGGAGGAGGTGACTTGGGAAAGAAGCTAAGGTAGCCCCAGTGAAAAAAAAAGACCGTAAAGAAAACCAAGCCCCACCCCTTGGTCAATAATTGAGGTTAGGGATGCAACGATTTTCAATCAAGGGCGAGCCGAAAGTCAGTCTGCAAACACGCTTGTGCAACTGTGCCATTTGCGAAGAACCCGTATGCACGGTGGTCACTTTTCTGTCCGAGCAACACATCACGCTGTCACACGTGCCGGGTCAACAACCCAAGTTACATCTACATGAAGCCTTGCTGCTCTAAACAATCTCTCTCTGATCCCACACACTCTCTGTGAATCCTCATTAGTTGAGTCATTGCATGGCCTTCAAAAAAGCGCAGATGCCAGCAACATGAGCATCCAAGTTTGCTATACCTACAGGATGAACTTCAAACAAAAGCCATGTAACATTAGGCCACTCATGAGAACTCTGTGTCTACTCGTATACAGGCACCTCGGAAAAATCACGTTCCCTCGTGCGCGCATGTTACCTCTACATGGGCGCTTTAGATCACGGGCCCGCAGGCCTGGTTGTTTGTGAGGAACTCATCCTTGCATTGGCAGTATTTGGCCTGTAGCTGTGAACTTTGCAGCATCTGTAGTCTGGGGGCAGGGTTTGGGAGTTTCGCAGACAAAGTTTACAAGGTTAGCTGGGTAGCCTAGTACAAAAGGAATGCTGCCTAGGACGGTGATGCTCCCCCACCGAAGATTTGCAAGAGAAACTCCTGACAGCAGCTGATGTACGGCTGCGGAGGCTTGCTTAGAAAAGTTGAAACGAAAAGTAACAGTAACACATAAGCTGAGTATCTGATCAATTGCTAGTTGAAGAACTTCAGAATCTTTTTTTTGCATCACTTACTGGCCATGTGCCAGGCTTTTCAAGTATATCAGTGAATATGAACCAGGCAGGCTTGCATGTTTGGAGATCACTAACCACCTTCAAATCATCATCCATCCTGTGCTTTGCCATTTGGAGGCTCGCAAGCATGCGCTGTTATTCCATGGCCTAACCCTCCGAGGCGTACATCCGACTCCAAAAGACGTGCTCAACAAAGGCCCAGCTGCACAGAAATTCCCAGGGGCCACGTACCTGGGCGGGAAGATTATGAATTGAATCGCGGCTTACAGATCCTGATTTGGGCTTGTAGTGCTGGGAGGTCTGGAAGCCAACTAGGTGTAAAGTGCTGGACAGTCTGTACATACATACACACATACACACATACATGCATGCATGCGAATTTATCTTCTATCTACATATTTATTTCTTCACTTAAACAATGCGCCTAAACCGCAAAAGGGCGCATAGTGCCTCAACGTCGAGCAGGCAATAGGGAAGCAACAATACTATATAGTAGTCCCCTATATAATCCCCTATATAACCCCAATATATGGTAGTTTCCATTTATTTTCCATTATCCCTATATAACCCCAATATAATCCACTATATAATCCCCTGAGCCGAGATTCACAATGGTCATAAAGAAATTATCACGGTCCCTCTTGCACTCTGCAACTCAGATCTCATGCGAACAAATATCTGGCGTTGGCAAAGCTGCAGCATCATGAGTACTTGTAACTACAACTACCGAAGGGTATCCTCATATAAGGTGTGTGCATATATATATATCTATTATTCATTTATTTATTTATCTATGACGAGAACGAGCATTTGAAGGGTTGAGGCCTTAGGCGCTCCTTGAGGGGTAGTAAATACTCAAGTGCATGTAATTGGGGTACAGGTAGGGTCTGTATAGGGATGTAATTGGGAAGGATCGAATGCTTGTACTTCTTACATCAGGGGGTCTGAGACTGCAATGCAACTTCTAGTTCACACTTTCACCACCGAATATCGCTGTGGGTATAGTATGATAAAATCCCCATATACCCCATACCCTAAACCCACAAAAAAAAACTTCCCAGTATTTTCGCTTCCATTATCCCAATATGACCCCAATATGCCCCGGAATCCAGAGACTCTGCCCAGCGCCCTGTTCAAGCTTTAAATCTCAGGCGCCCGAACAGGTCGTAGACTTGCCCGATCACACCCGCCTCATTGCATGGGTCGTTCAAGGAAGTACGGCCCGCATTGCTGGAAACTCCCAAGCGGCAGGAGCACAACACAAGTTACTAGAATCGGCGTCCTCATGCACTTCTTCCGTATCTACGAAAACTGCTGCCCAACACGCAGATAGTCATGTGGCTGCTTGTAAGTCTAAGACATGACCTTCACCTACACATCTTCCACAACCTTTTCGCAAAACCTCTGACCCATAAGTTGAACCTCATAAAGCTCTGCATCTACAGTCCGTATTGAGTCCTCAGAAAACCAGCAGCACTAAGATCGGCCGAGAAACCTGAAGCGCTAAACTTGAACCCATTGACCAGGGCTAAGAGATGGGGCTTTCCATGAATTAGGTGTCGTTTTTTGGAAGTACCTATGATTCAGCGGATGATAAGGATTATATATATATACACATACACATATACATATATGTATATACACATATATATGGGTCTGGAAGCTCCCAGATATCCTCCGGTCTGTGTCTGTTAGCAAACATGCCAACATGGAATTTTGGGGCATATGCCCGGATATGGGCTACTCTGTATAGTAATTACTGCAAGGCTCCTGAAATCCGCCCATCATACTCCCTGACCTTAGCTCACATGAGCTATAGTCTAAACTCCTAGTATCCCTCCTTAACAATTCCTATAACACTCCCCTATCTAATTCCCCTTTAATGAGTTTAGACTATGGTGCACATGTCCCGGGCGCTTTGACTGGATCGAAAGTCGCTGGCGTGGCATTCTTCCAGTCGTAGGAAGTATCCAAGGCCTGGTCATCTGAGACCAAGCATAGGGTTCAGAGTTTAGGGTTTCTGGTTTGGGGTTTAGGGTTTAGGGTCTCTGGATTAGGGTCTAGGGAGGCCCTTACTCTTGGGATCCTTTTGTACCCACTCTATACCCTGAAAGACTCTTGAAACCCAATTCAAGGCTCATTCTGGACTTACTTATGCAGGGAGGCCCCGTTTTTTTACGTTCTGGACCTTCACTGCATTGCCCATTTGGGGCACTTTCCAAGACTTGGCCATGGTCGGGGTTTCAAGGTTGCAGGTTTTGAGGTTAAACATCTTTTTGCCGGTGCTGTAGGGGCCGTATACTGTATACATGACAAAGGCTGCCCTCAACACTACATCCAAAACCGAGTGTCCGCACAAGGTTTGGAGCTATCCAACCAGGGAGGTATCTGACCCCGAATAGCGGGTATTCAGAGGGTAGCGGGGGGGGTCTAGGAAGAATAGATGCCAACTTCCCAGTCATTCTGGTAAAACCTCTGGCCAGTTCCCCTTTTGGCCTCCAGTTTCCTTCTTTTCCTTGCCGTCCTCCTCCCATCTTTGCTCGCGCTTCAGACTCTGAGGGAACATGTCAGACCAATTGCTGGATGTCGAAATCTACCTTGCTAAAGGCTCAGCTCTAACCCGCGAAATCTATGCACTGAACCATCACCTTTCGATCCCCAAGAAGTGGGTAGCTCCCAAAATTAGGGTCCCATGTTGGTACCCCTGAAATAGTAACGTGCCGTAATATCATATATAACCGAAAGAGGCCATCAAGTTTGTAAACAGACCCTATAACTCTTGTAGAACCCAATAAGAGCTCTATATACCTCATATATCCCCATGATAAACCCTATTGTGCCAACAGCCCAAATACTTTATGAAGTTGGCCAGGGGGCCCTCCAGCTCGAGGCAATCCACACGACCTGCATGTCAATCCATGGTTCCGGTTGGAGCTGAGCAAGGCGATTGGTGGTTGGGCTTAAGTTCACAGTGCTAGAGGCACAGAGGCTCACGAAACTTATTTCTAGACAACGACTTCGGTTTCGAATGGGTAGAACGGTTGCAAACCAGCTGGTTCGGTGTTTGCAGCATGTGGAATTGGCATCCCTTGTTGCGGCTGAAGATGAAAATGCCATCAGCCAATGCCCCCTCACGGATGTTGTGCTATCCTACATGGCAGCTCCGCTGGAAGCTACAGAGCGGAGAGTTACCAACTGCAACATTGCCACCCTGACGCCATCATAACCAAAAGGCCTTAAGCCGGATCCATGGCAACCTGATAGAACCCCATGAGGGGGACGGCCTTGCGAGCGCCGCGCTGAAGCAGAGCGAGTATCCTCTCGCATTTATTGGGCATGTTGGGGCCCAAAGACCCTCATAGGGAGAGGGCGATCAGCGTCTTTGCGTCACAGATGAGAATAAGGTGTCACTACTTAGGCAGGTCACACTTCTTGCTTGCTCTTACGAACTAAGTGGTCTCAGAAATATGTTTAAGGCCAATAGCCAACCCTCGAAAACAAAAAAAGGTACCCTCGTCCTCATGCGGCCAACCCACTTAGAACATCATCGAAGTACCTGTGGAAACCTAACCCGGATGCTGACCTCTCAGTCCCAGTAAAATTATCATGTTGGGCCTCAGAAACTGAGGCTCAGACCTGCTAGCTTACGCCTTCCAATCATCAGTGCCAATCTTTGCAAGACTATGATGACTGCAAAGCCCAAAAGCGCCATGTGATGATCCCAAACGTAATCCTCAGGTTGTAGGGCCCTCAAGGATACCCCAGTCCCGGCGTTGTCAAGGTTGCCGCCATCGCCGTACTCATATTTGCAAGCTGCCTCCAACGGCAGCTCATGTGAAGCTTATGCGACTTGAAGGTTTGCAAGTGCTTGTAAGCTACCACCCCGACCCTGCTACCAATGAACCTCCAGATAGGTCATTGAGCTCCCCGGGCGCTCAAGCCTACGCCATAGCACATGCTTAAGCTGCACTCATCAAAAGTGAGTTCTTTGACCCAAATACTGCACCAGAACCGTCCCCGCACAGAAACCTAACTAAACAGAGGTCTTTGAAAACGACCCCACAAGTTTGCACTACAAGGCCTGGAAAAAATCACACTCAACATGTAAAGAGCAGAACCGGACATCAGGCGTGAGAATCAGAGTAAGATGTTTGCCCCATCAACAGTATGCCATCATCAAATCACGTGAATCATGTGCATGTGGCTAAAGTCATACTTTGAGCCGGGCTGGTTGAACACATGCTTTGCCTTTTGTGTCTCCGTGAAGCGTTTCAAGTTTGCATACTTTT